CAAAGTCTCGAGGCATATTCCTGGAATGTTTTGATTTCAATGTTTATTTTCAGCGTACAAACTGATTTTATTCTGATACAATCAAATATATGTATGGAATTACCAAAAAAAGCATACTACAGTATATTGTAAATATAAATCCCATTTATAAAGCAAGAAAAACGGTTTTAACTTTGCTGTTCCTATACTTTTTGAGGGTACTGTATAATAGGAGAGAATGTACAGAGTCACTACTCTACAAAGAAAGTCCAGTGTGCTTCAACCCTCCTGTGACGAGATACCAATTGATCTACTCTTGTATCTGTAGTCTAGAAAAGATTCCTCCTTGTGCAGTGGTTTGGTGAAACAGCCCACAGGGGGCTATCATTAGACTGTGAACCTCTATTCCACTGTGACTTGAACTGTATTTGAATCATGGCCTCCAGAGATGAAAGCCTATGCAGGAGATAAGAATTAATTATCTTGGAGGAAAAGACGTATCCTTTTGATCAAACAGTAGGTATGGGTTAGCAGTTGGTACAGCACCATGATTGCAGAATTGCAAGTCGATCATATTTTGTAGTAACTAGTCTTTCAGATGGAAGTTCTTAATAGAGGGATTTAATAGTCGTCAAAGAGGGAGATATTCCAATAACTGAAGTCTCTGTCAAAATAAATGCAGTAGAGTGCTACTGAGGTATTGATGGTTGACTGTTTGTGAATCTCCCTATAAGCACTACACGGCACACAGCAGTATTTCTAGAAGTGTCCACCTGATGAAAGGCAAAGTTTTAATAAGGGCACTATTAAGACTATTAGTATTTCAGAACAAACAATTGCAGTAGGTCAGGAATTGAATCAAATTACACACCTAGAGAGCCATGGAGTTTTCTCAGTTATATGTTGGAGAGGGAATATAGCACCCAATGTTCAGTTTTGTAAAGGTTAGAATATCAATCCCCTCTGATGCCTTTAAATTATGAAGCACATTTTCAGACATATCAGCATATTAGCTTTAACTTTATTTTACAAAATCAATAAATCTATAATTTCATAAATGATCAGTGCTGGGCAACTATAGCCAATGCCAGTACCTGTGTTTTATATTTAAGCAAGTGTCCTTATCCAGGGTGACTTACAATTAATATATATTTGCTGTAATACTAATGAATACTTGATGGAGATGTTTTCAATCCAGACTTTTAGTAAGTCTTGAAATTATCTACTGTATAAGCAGTAAAGAAACAAGGGCTTCAAAGACCAGAGTAATTGAGAAACTCGTGCATCCACTGTCGACTGTGTTGGTTGAGATGGATGAGATGTTAAGCGTACTTGCTGCCCTTGCAAATTAGTACAGCAGCCCATTAGTACAGCAATTTTGGCCATGTATTTGCATGGAGACAGTTAAAGTGCTGGCAGCAATATGGTCTGGAAAGGGATCTGCCAGGATGGTGGCATTGATCACTGTATTTTCCTTATTTTTCCCTGCCTCTTGCCATAATCATAACCAGGCAAGTGGACTTCTTAGGGCTAGCTGTGTAACAGGGCTCATGCTTAAAGCCAACTATACAGCTCAAGGCATTCACCTCTGTAAGCAAGGCAGTGTAAAACTCTGCCCTGGCAGAGGAGCTGGTCTTGTGGTCCAGTAAAAATTCATTGCTGGCTAGAAAACGGCACTGCGTGGTTCCTGACCTGCTAACAGGAGGGATTGCCCAGCAGTGGCAGAGAGAGCTGCATGTGTTACACCTGCATGACCACATGCCTGTACAGAGGAGATCTCCACTATTTCTACTAGGCCAGAAAGGAACTCCTCCTCTGTCTATAATAAAGTGGTGTCAGTTGTTCTTTATAAGCAAAATGCTATAGGCATTCTTTCCTTACAACTGTTATCGAGTCTTGTGTTTGAAAATAGTATTGGTGGACTAATTTTGGTCAGAGTTAAATAATAATCTAAATATTTGACATATAGGGGTGAATGCTGGGTTACATTCAAGCACTTGGTTGTTTGTCTGTGCCATGCCAAGGGTAAGACCCTTTTTGTCTCCTTACTTCTGGAAAAGCCAGAGAGGAATAACTGGAAAGGCAAGATGCTTTCAGAACGCTTGCTTTTGAATATGACAAGCCATGAAATGGCCATGCAGAACCTGTTCTTTTGTTAGAGTCCAGGTACTCTAGCAATGTTCCCATTCTGCTTCAAGTATTCAACTATATTTGAAAAATTTACAGGGTAGGTGCAACCATAACCCTCCCCCCCACACACACACACAAACACACACACACACCACACACACGCACACACACACACACACAAAGATGTTGTTGCACATTAAAATTAGTGAAAAAATATTGGTTATGAGCCATTCTCTGCACGTTTTCCTTAAGATACTGTCAGTAAGACTGGAAATAAAAAACCTTAGAAAACTCTTGCATTTAAAAAAATGTGGGAAAAAAGTCATCAATTTTTGTGGAATTATACACAGCAATGGAAACATTCTTGTGAGTTTAATACTGTGACATGTGAGTTTAAATACACATCTTTATGTAAGACAGCACCATGCTTACACAATTTGTGGCTCACAGATCAGCAGTTCAGGTCTTGGGCAAAAAGACTCTCCTGGAATGTTGTTTTTGCAGGGCTGGCTATTCCATATTAATATGCTGCAATTGAACTTGGCACAGCTGTGCCTAGAAATGAATATTACAAATCTGTAAAGGGTGGAAATGTGAGCATTTGACATCTGAAACAGCCTATTTTCTCCATTATATTTCCTTATAGGTACATGAATACCTACTGTACTTTGAACAATCGTTCTTTGGCATGTATAGTAATTTAATTTTTTCTCAACTCCCCAGTTCACACCAGGGTGGCATTGTGGCCTGGTAGTTAGCACTACTGCTTCAGAGCTCTTGGGAACAGGGTTCAGCTCTAGACTAGGGTGCTGTCTGGATGGAGGTGGCATGTTCACCCCGTTTGTTCATTCAGCAAGTGCTGTTTTCCTTCCTTGGTCCTTCAATGCTGGCTATGTTCACTGCTGCCTCTAGATTGTCAGTGGAGCACAGACTCTTAGGAGAATGAGCATTTCTGATAATGGATGGCCATTATTTACTTTGCTTTCATTTTTCTGCCTGAGGCTTTCAGACCACCACAGTCATTCACTTTTTAAAGAGCGTTTTATTGATTTATTTAAAGCATGAAATGTCAAGCAGGTGCATAATAATTCTTCCGTTCATTTTATGATGTTTATATTTTGAATCCTAACATTGGAGGGCAGGACGTCACCTTTTCCTTCTTTACTTTTCATTAAAAACTGAAATAATTTGACTGTATTTTACCTTAAAAACCTTATGATACTGCCAGAAAATTCTGCAAGCCTCATTGCCTATTGCCAATTCTATTTTTCAAACCAGATTTGAACACTTAAAACATTTGTCAGATGAACTAGGTCACACATCTCTTTCTGCCTAATTTGAAAAAGGCCAGTGTCAGCTATGCTCTTTCACTGACTTGACCACTGAAAATTTCACTCTCTATTGTTTGTGGAAAATATAACAGCCAGCTAAAACTGATATGAATTGCCTGAATAAAAATTGTTTGTAAAGCACCATGAAAACTGAAGAGGTGGCAACAACATTTAGAAGTGCAGCAGTGAGGATGTGATTTGGTTGTGTTAAAATGATTTAGTAAATATTTTACAATGCATCTGAAAGGATGAAGTTAAGTTGTGTGCAAGTGAGACATTCCACCATGACATTGTAACCAGTTTTCAAACACTTGTGCACATGTGCATTGTGTAAAGTATATGTATTTAGAAGACTATACTTGACGATGTTTTAAACACATTAAGTAAGAATGTTACAAAATGCCAACAAGGAACATTGCAGCACCATTTTGCTAATTCTGGTTGCAGCAACATTGTAGGGAATGATTTCACAATGTGCCCTGGTCTCTGCAACTTTGCATTGCCATAACAGTTTCTGTACAAAACTGCAACTTTTTATCATGTTGCCTCCATGTTATTTGGTTAAAGACAGTTCACCTAGCTCAGATTTCTGGGCTATATCTCATATAGATGCACACAAAAAAACAGCAGAGTAAAAAATATGGTAACTAAATCACTTAAGTGACATATAAACTTCATTATAGAGTAGTAATAATGCTGTAGTACAGCACAGACCATATATTTTACCGTGGTATTATGCTTCGTTCATACCAATAAAAACACATAGGCTGAAAACATGAAAAGTAGTCAGAAAAGTCAAATGTTGTCCATCTGCCAATGTGTATGGATTGCAAGCAATTTGAAAGGCAGCACGTATACTTTGTATCAGCACTCCGGTGGGGATAAACTGTATCCATGTACAGTATAAGTATTTAGAGCTGAGCTAGGATAGAGCAGCAGCCTTGGGGACAAGGCACAAGCCTGTCGCTTCTGTGAGCATTAATGACTTGCGGCACTTGTCAAAAATAAACCTCCTGGGGGTCCCGACCCTTGGGTCTCCGGCTGAAAACCCTTCTGGAGAGCCGTCGCATCTCCTTCTGCAGAGGAGGCTCAGGCCGTTTAAAGAGCATGGCATAAACACTTCTTGGAGGCCGACAGCTAGGAGGACAATCCACGCACCCTGGCTGTGAAGCGAGGCAATACATTAACCCACTGGGAAATATGTACCATTAGCTTCCATTACTAATGAGCTGCACATTCAGGCTGGAAATAATGAAATCCATTGTTTCCATGCAAAAGCCCAGCACAGTAAAATGTTCAACAACTCCTACAGGGTTAGCCATAGGTGCCTGGGATATTTACAGCGGCTTTATGGATCTGTATTCCATCGGCCAGCCACAAAATATTCTCTTATTACAATAGATCCTGTGCTCACACACACACACACATGCAGACACTCAGACACACACTGGCACAAAATGTTTGCTGGGATTAATACTACAGCCAGGAAGGTTTCACGAACACGGTACCAACCAGCAGCTCTGAGACTCATCAGAATTCACAAAAACCACCGACACACACCTCCATACCTTACACCTAGGCCGTGTCTCCCTCCTTGGCTTCTGTTTCTTGTTTCTTTCCTGTTATCCTACACCATTTCTGGGTCTTGTTCTAGCCGACAGTCTTGGAATAGACTAGGGGGAGAGGAGGAGCTGGAAAAAAAAAATCGAACATGAATTAGCATTCCAAAAGGCATCATGTGTCTCTATGGGCCAATAGAGAGGCGAGCTTTTCCTTTTACCACTCCTCCTACCCCCCCTCCCTACAACACCCCCCTCCCTTCACCCCCCTCTCTCCTCCTCCTATAGAACGGTCGTGTCAGGTCAGTAGTACAGCAGGCCTATGCACAGTCTCCATGGCAACACAAAAGGATTTAACCCTTGCTTGGAATTTTATGGCTTCTGCCTTCAAAATGGAATTTGGCTGAGACGTGTGACGTTGAGACAGAAAAAGCAAGAGCTGCGCTATAATTATAAAATGTAAAGACCTCTGTAACTGTACTGAGGTAATTCCATGAAAAGTTTAGAATGGATCAGAAGTCCTTTGTAATGTAGATGAGAGACTTACAGCTTTAATAAGAGCCACATAAATCCCTGTAAGTTTTAAATACCTTAAATCTTTAATATAGTCTTTTGTTCTTTAACTAGGGCATCAATTTCAGTCATTTTGTGCAATGTTAAAGCACAAGAAAACCTAAGGGACAGGTTTATTGGAAATGTGATATTAGATTTTCCGTACAACCTCCCCTGGGCCCTAAAGCCCATAATTAATTCAAAATGTGTTTACAGGAAATTTGAAAAAGCAGATGGGTAAGTTTGGTCAACATTAATAAATTAGAAAATTAAGGCCTCAGTAGAATGCTTGATGTTGAAAATTAATCTCTCAATGCCCAGAACATTACAGGGTATATTAAGGTTATTAGTGTTTCTCACAGAATTCATGCCCATGAAACTTGTGAAAAGATGTACTAAAGTAGTTACTGCAGTTGCTACAAACTGCAGTTACTGTACAGTACCTAATGCATGCTAATTCCCATGACAGTCATGGGCATGTATACCATAGGACTCTAGAGGTGCAGTGTCCAAAATTACAGATGAGAAGCTCTTGCTGAGTGTCAGGGAATGTTAGAAAGTCTTAGTGTGGGTTTTATTGTACGGGCAGAATTACCTGGGAATCTAGTTCTGATCTGTATGTGCTAAATCACAGATTCCAATTGAATTGAGTCAATAGATTTCTTTGGTAAAAAGAGGCATTTAGCAGGTGATGTCAGCATCTTACTTGAATAAGTAAGATGCTGATTAATCATTATTGGTATGCCTGCCTCTACCCTGCTGACCAGTAAGGAATAGATACAGCAATGTCACAGACAGTGCCTTAATCAGAGTTTGGCCACATGTGCAATCTGGAATTGGATTGAAGTGGTTTTTATTTTACGTCAGAGCTTGAATCATCATCTCAATGAATTGCAGTTCATTGCAGTGGAAGTTCTGCACACATTTCTTGGGGAATCTGTTTTTTATTTGTGAAAACTATATCCTTTAGAAACGGAAGTGTTTCTACAAACTGTTAACCTTTACCTCACCTTACACTGAAAGACAGGGGACAGCATGGAGTAGTGGTTAGGAATTTCTAGCCAGTATCAGGGGGATCTTGGATTCCAAACTTCAGTGTTATTTGTCCAGTTTACCCAATTCACCCAGTGGTATAAGTGGGTACTGGCATTGCCGGTAAGTTAACCTGCAATGACAAAGAACATTAATTTGAGTCCAATTCAGAGGTAGCATTGTTCTCTCAATTGACCTAATGTTACAGAAAGCAGGATAAGCTTAGGCCCTATAAACCTATGGCTTTGTTGTACTTCATGTTCCTCCCTTCCAATTTAGATCTTTACATATGTTTTTAAATAAAAGATCTGCCATGTCATCTTGGGTTCATGATAATGGACAATATACTTTGGCTTGAAATTAAACCATATTGGTATTGGTATTCTATAATTGGTATTGATTAATTTTAAATTGTCCATTTTCCTTATTCTTTGGGAGCACAGACTCTGATCCAAATTATTCAAGTATAGCTATCCAGATTACTACTTTCTGGAGATAACTTTGTATGTTAGATGATGATGATGATAATAATAGAGAGTTTTGATACACTAAACTCATGCTTTAAAGATTATACTGCACAAGCAATTCCAGATTCTTAAATCCCAAGACTCATTGATACTTTCTGACTCTGATTGGGATAATTTATTACTTAATGGAAGCAGTGGGTGCCAGATGCTTCACAGTACAATGAATCGGAATTGCAATGATTTGTCTTTTTTCTTGCAACAGTAGTTGAGCATCATCAGCTATTAAGGCATGCTGTACTTGAGCAATTTATCATCACTGATTCACATGTCATGTTGCTGTCCTGAGAGGACCCTCTCAGATCCCACAGGTATTGAGCTGGAGCAAAACACAATCTCTCTTTGGTATCCCATGAGGAGCTGCAGGCCGCTTAACCTTTGCCCTTAGTGAGCCATTACTATCACAGCAGCAGTTTGAACCACACAGGATTTAGTTTACTGCTAACATGTGCCTGTACTTGTAAAGCAAACATAGAGAATTACTGTAGATCCTAATGAGCTTGAGGGGCCAAAAGGTAATTTCTGAAAGGTGGCTTTTCTGATGTTCTGATTTGAATCAATGCCCCCGTTTTCCTTGAGTGTCAGCATTTTTAAACCATTTACTTGTGACTGATAATTGACAGTACTTTTTCTTTCAGTGTGTTATGTGCTCCTGAAAACTAGACATTTCAGTGACTGAGGCTTCTTGTAAGAGAAAAGCAGTCATTTCAAAATGGGAATTAGAGTAGTCACTGCAAAGAGAAGCTTGGTTTTAGAAATTCTCACTGAAGAGTTTGTATGCTTCTATAATGATCTTCACAAAAAACTGCTGCACCCCAGAATGACTGTTTAGACCATGAAACCGAATACAGCTGTGCCTTCTGGTGTTTGTACAAATGCCCTGATGCAATTTGACAAGAAGGCAGCTTTATAAAACTGTAATACTCAGTGTTTCGAAATGACCAGGTATTAGCTGACTTACAATATGTGACTTATCACCAGGTCAAAAATGCCTGAACTGTCTGAGGTCAGCAAGCCTCCTGTGTATTGAAAACATTGCGTATCAAGGCTTGTGCCAAGTCGCACTTCTTCTGCAGTTTGCAGGATATGTATCTTTCTGTTAAATGAATTATAAGTAGAAGAACAAATTTTATGAATGTTTAAAATAAAGACGCCATGTAACCCTGAGATATTACCATATACCTTTGCACAGTTATTGTGGTTTTGTTGTATAACATGGTTGTTGTTGCAGTACTGGTCGTTCAAATAGGGCTAATAGTTTCTTACTCTACTGATTCTTCAAGTATTATTAAGAAATATAATTAAATAATAGTAGTGATATTATCAACCTCATAACACTAGAACATGTGAACATATGGCCTTGTTAACATATACCCTTCTCAGTTGCTAGGAGACCAATTTTTGCAAAAACAAAACTCATAGCGATATGTGCCAGACTGTCCATCAAGGGGGGCGTGGGTTCAGAATACCCCCTTGTCACTAACATAACGCCTCTCGGCAAACGCCACCTCACCAAGTCACAATGCATGCAAATTTATTCAAATGTCAAGGCTCTGGGCCTCTTCTGAATGCAAGACAGTAAATGGCAGCACGATTGCTCTGCGAATGTGGAGATAAACTGAAGGTGAGATTTCAGTGTGTCTGTGCATCGGTGGAAATTTAATCTGAAGTTTCATTTTTAATTCTGACCATAGTGTGATAAAGTAGTAGCCCAGTGCTTGTTTTGGGGAGCTACTCACAAGCTATGTGGTTTCTTCTTGGTCTTAACACCATGTGTCAACAATACAGGCCCAAACAGTTTTCAGCCAATTTGACATTCTTTCCTGTATGAAAGCCCAGGTTGACTTAAAGAAATTAGCAAACACCTCACGGGCCAAGTACTGTGGTATACACAGTGTACACTGCATAGTGCAAAGAGGAAGAATCAGAAATGTGCAGGGGCAAATCAAGAACAACTACTTTGTTGCAGCTGTAAAATACAGAATTAAAGCGATAATTTGTTAATATACATCACTGGTTTTGATCTAAACCAACTCCCACTGATTTCTGAAAAAAGGTATTATCTTCAGATAATAAAGGGTTTGGAAATGAGTCCAGAGCCTGTGACGTTCAAAAGAAGCTAATTGATTGTTGAAAGAATTGGCTGAGACACACAGGTGTGTACTGTATAATGAGATAATTAAAACAAGGTAGAAAATGGCAAGGGATTTCCAAGAAATGCTTGTGCTGTATGTTTCTTTTACTTTGCTAACAGTTTCCTCTTGTTCCATTCTGGGGTTATATAGTTTTTCATCATGTGTACTTTATGTGAGTGTGATGTTCCGGGAAAGGAAATTAAATCTGCAAACTGTACAGAAAAAAAGTCCTTTCTAACACATTTTAAGGTGTCAAGTTGTGATCCAGATTGTCTGTGTTTAAAATGCTTGTTTCCATCGTAGGTTGCCAAGTAGGTTGCTGTTCTTTGTTTTTACCTACATAAACTGGCAGAAGTGTGGTCAGTGACCATTTTATTAAGATATCCTGAAGATATTACATCCCAGCTTTGTTAAGACTATCAATTAGATTAGTAAGTATTCAAAACATAGTTGGTACCAAATGGATTCTGCATGATGTATAGTTTGTAATGAAGTATACTGCTGCTCTTATGTCATGTTATAAAGAAAGTAGAATTAGGTTTCAGACTCCCATAGACTTCACTATACAATAGTTTTCCATTAATTTACAAAGCAAAGAATGACCAAAATCATAGAAAATATGTGTGTTGCCACTTAAAATGGAAAAGACTGAGTGAACAAGCTCTGAAGATAAAGTTTTTGTCTCACAATGCTGTCAGGGTTTTTACACAAGCACTGAACCATGGTTCTTTTCATGAGAGTTGAACCAAGTTCAATTTAAGGGTATCTCAATCTCCATCCATCATTCCTTTTTTGGTTGGAATAAGACACATAAACAAAAGTTGGTGTGAATTGGCATTGAGGAGTAACAGCCAAGATATCAGCAGCACAATCACACCAC